CTCAAGCGGCGCCGTGCAAGCGCCTGCCCTGCGTGGGCTCAGCGCGGGGAGAGAGAAGCCGGCAGGCTCCTTGCGGGCCGTGTCCACGGCCGCCCTCTGGCGGGCCGGCATCGCGTTGGCCTGAGGCAGCCCCCCAAACGCGAGTGGGTGCTCGAGGTGTCTCTTTCACACGTGCGTACATGCACGGGATTTTCGGTACGATGACTAAAGCGCTTAGAGCTGGGTAGCACACAGATTGTGGTAACCCACGGCTCTGAGTGAAGCAGAGTAAGTAATCTATACATTTAACTCAGTGCTTCTCTCTCTGCTATGATAAATCATCCTCACGCTTCAACTGAAAAAGGAAACTAATGTACGAGGGGAAAAGAGGATAGGTTAAACTAAAACCGATGTTTTAGTTTTAATTATAGTATTGTTGCATATTTACAAACATCCAAAAATGCAGTCTCTGGATCTGTAATCTGCAGTGATACAGATTGTTCTGAGGGCAGAAATCTACCATTCACTGATAGCAAGTTTAGATCAGGCTGCCTGCCTACACAGTTACTGCCACTGTGAAGTGGATTCACTGGGGGCACCTCCATACTATTGTTTTTGTTCTTCAGTCCCTTAAAAGTTGTTTGAAGATGATTCATAATAGTCTTATGTTCTGCTGTGAGACTGCATGAAGAACAAAGTGCAAAGAATCGCTGCCCTCCCTAAGCTACTAAAGGTGCTAGAGAAACAGACATCCTTTCCCCACCCCCACGGGAAGTAAAACAAAGTTCTTGCACACAGACCCATGTACATCTTTACTACATGTTCTGTGTATTTGTCTGTTCATATGCAAAAAACCCCAAAGTCATTCATATGAGGGGGAGCTACAAAGTTGTCAAGGTACCTTTCCGTTGAAGGATCTGCTAGGGTAGATGAAGCTTAGGAGTTAGGAAAAAGCAAGAATTTCCAAAAAAGAGAAAATGGATGTCAACTCCACAGAGCAGCAGCATTTTAAATAAACAAGAACACACACCAGTTCCACTATAGTTTCAAATACACTGCCGCTGAACTAGAAGTAAATCCAGTCAGTTCTTCTCCAGTGTTGTGGAATCACAGAAGTCCAGACTTAGCTCCATACTGAGAAAGAACTGTCATGCAGAACAACCTTCCAATGGCACCATATATGCCCTCTATCCATGCTCATGTCAGTGCTCTTAAGCTGTAACTTTTGAGGCAAGCTCCAAGTCAACTTTGATCCTCAAATTAAAAAGCATGTGAGCTACTCAAAGAGCAATATATATACTATCTTTATTTATTATTTTAAAAGCACACATTTCATATGTGAGTCTGTGCAGCTAACAACAAACGCACCAGCAATAACACAAAATAACTATAACAGTAATCAGTACAATACTATGGTGTTGAGGTCTGAGTCAAAGAAATCCCTCAAACAAATGCAAATATTATTGTCCAGGCTCATCTAACATCTTGGCCCAAATCTTGGAGGAACAGCCAGGTCTTTCAGGCCCTATGGAAGGCCAGCCAGGTTAGAGCCATTGAGATCTCAGGGGGAATAGCGTTTCATAAGGCAGGTCCTGTGACAGAGAAGAGAAGCATCCTGAGTCCCATTAGAGACAGTGCCTCGTAGAGGGGACAGACAGTGCCTACTCTGTTGGGATGGGCAAAAACAATTGGAGATGGATAATTCCAGAAATGAACTGGACTCATGCCATCAAGGGCTTTACAGGTGATAACCAGTACCTTGAATTGCTGGAAGGCTATTGGAAGTCAGTGCAGTTTAAGAAGCAGTAGTGACACATGGACAACCAGAGTATGCCCAAAGATGTCCATTCTACTGTAGTCTGGACCAACTGAAGCGTCCCAATACTCTTTAAAGGCAGCCCTGTAGAGTGCATTGTAATAGTCTAAATGGGAGGGGACTAATGTATGAGTGACTATGAACAGGGGCTCCCCATTTAAAAAAAGGAGACAATTGGCACACAATATAGATTGGTGCAAAGGCCCTCTTGGCCAAAGTAACAACCTGCTCTTTGAGCAGGAGCTGTGAGTCCAAGAGGACGTCTGAGTTGCACATCATCTCTGCCTGAGGAAGTGCAAGTCCATTCAGATTTAAGAATGGAAAATCTCCAGATTCCAGAGGCCTCAAAACCCACAGCTACCCCTTCTGAAAGTCAAATTAGCTGCCCTTTGAAAGAACAAGTCTGCCAAATTCACTCATCTTCTTCCTATACCAGGCCAGACATTTTGGTGTAAACTCTTGAAAAGGCTATAGCTGGTCCAAAATACAGCTGCGTGTACAGTGACGGGTGCCCCTAAGTTTACCCATGTAACATTTCTGTTGCGTGAGCTGCACTCCTGGTTTCCTTCCAGGTGCAATTCAAGGCACTGGTTATTACCTTTAAAGCCATACATGGCACAGGGCCAGGTTATCTGCAGGACTGTCTCTCTCTAAGGACATCTACCCACCCTACCAGATCAGATAGGATGGGCACGCTCCTAGTCCCTTCCCTTAAGCATTGCCATTTTATGGGATCTAGGAAACATGACTTTTCCGTGGCAGCCCCTACCCTTCCCCCTAAAATTCAGCAGGCTCCCACCCTCCTAGCCTTTTGAAAAACACTTAAGACCTGGTGTTTTCCCCAAGCACTGCGATAGGGTGAGATTGATGAGTGGACTTAGTGATGGACTGCATGTAAAAGTTGAACTTGGTGCCAGGTTTTAATATTTGTAGTTTTAATAGATATATGTAGGTATATTGATGTTGTTTTAACTGTTGGTTGGGAGCTGCCCAGACTTTGATATAAGATGGGTGGCTATATAAATGTTTTAAATAAATAAATAAATTTTTTTTTTTTAAAAATCATGCTTTGGAGCTGTAATATAGATAATGCTTGACTCTAGTTCAGAACTGTTGCTTAAGTAACCTGACCAAAAATGTACTATTGCCATTATGTGTGCATCCAACAGAGAGGTATGATCCATCCCAACTTCCTACACACATATACTTGCAAGACAATCATGTTTATAGAAGAACATTTGCTAGTTGTCTATTCACATTACAATTTTATATGAATGTACACAAAACATGATGCATAAAGCTGTACTAGAATTGTTCCTTATACTTCCTTTTTCAAGTGAAAGGTATGATTTAAAAAGAAAGAAATTTGTAACTCAGCAAGACAAATAGAATGGGATCTACTTTTCCTACTGCAGCTAAATATAACTGTTTTACTTTGAATAAGTTTAAATCTCCAGGACTCAATGAACTGCTTCCGAAGATGATAAGGGATGGTGTGGGAAACCCTCATACATTATTTTTGAGAAATTCTGGAGAACTAGTGAAGTCCCAGGTGGCTGGATGAGGGCAAATTCTCTTCAAAAAGGGGAAAATCCAGCAAACTGCAAACCAAGCAGTCTGTCATCAATACCTGGAAAGATTTTAGAGCAGGTCATAAAGCAATTGATCTGTAAGAACTTTGAAAGTAAAGTGGTAATTATCAGAAGTCAGCAGGGATTTGTTAAGAACAAATCTTGCTGAATTAACTTTAGCTCATTTTTTGATTGGATAACTTCCTTAATAGTTGGAAGATATGGGCAGGGGGATACCTTGATTGGTAGTGGCCCTTGTGAAGATGATTTTGGAATAATAGTAGATTGCAAACTGTATATAATACAGTGTATGTAATTTCATTGCAAAAAAGCAAATGTAATTTTTGGCTCATCCACAGAAATGTAATTTCCAAATCAGGAAAAGTAATTGTTCCACTTTATTAAACTTTGTTCAGACCCACCTTAAGAATAATGTCCTGTTCAGAGATATTGGAGCATGCCCAGAGAAGAGCAACAAGGATGATCAGGCAACTAGAAATTAAATCCTATGAAGACAAATGGAAAAAGCTGGGTATGTTTAACCCTGAGAAAAAAATGACTGAGAGGGGAAAATGATTGCCCTTTTCAAAGTGAATATTAGAAAAATCTTTATAGTAAGAACAGTTTGACAGTGGAGCAACTGTTTGGATAGGTGGCAGGCTCACCTTCATTGGATGTGTTCAAGGCTAAATAGTCAGTCTGGAGTTCTACATTTGTAGTGAGATAACAAGTTTAAGTAAAAAACAAGAGCCATACATCAACTCAATTTAACTATTCTGTTTCTTAATACATATAAAAGTTATGGCCTCTGCTAACTTGATCCCTTTTTCCTCTTTCATTCAGTATTTGGACACTCCAGTTTGCTGTCTTCCGCAGAGGCTTCGTCTTTCAGTTGCTGACGAGCAAACTCCTCAAACACCAGGTCATCTTGGCCACTAAGGGAAAGATAAGGACTCTCTTTGAATATCACATCTTCTTAATATTTGATATTAGGAAGCTCACTCTTTTCTTTTGCCATATTTAAATAAGTATATAATTTGTCAGGGAGTGGGGAATAGGTAGCTTTCAAGATGTTGCTGAAGGATGGGCACTTCCACACCACTACCCGTTTCCACTTCCCAACTGTTCAAAAAGCTGTGATAAGCCAAACTCAAAGCATAGAGAAAAGAAGAGAAAGGAGATGGGACAAGTAAGAGTTTACCCCTTGTGGAAGAATGGACTGACAAGAAGCTCTGCAAAAGTGCTGTGCTTCAAGAGAAAAAAAAAGAGATTTTCTGCAGTTTCATATATACTGCAGTTTGGCTTCCAGATTTTGCCAGCATCATGAAAATGGCAGGACTGGAGCTATTTCCAGATTGCTACAAAGACATAATATGGAAGTGCCCTATATGTCTTAGTAGTCAGCAAGCGATAAGGGATGCTGAAGTTGTAGTTCAGAAACATCTGGAGGGCCATAGGTTCTCAGCCTTAGTCTATACATTTACATACAATAATAAGGCCTACATTTTAGTATCTTACAGTACTTACACATTTATAGTTTGTACAAAGTCAGTACATGATTTGTTTTGGTTAAATACATGTGAACCCAGGCATTGTAGTACGTTACCTAAAGTTTATGTTATGGATTTATAATATTGTATGATATTGTAATATGTGAACCTGGCCAACTGCAGTATATTCAGCTTTGGGAGTCATGTATGTGATAATATTTTGGCCAGGGCGATTAGCTGTAGTCTTGCAAAGAAGTAAGCATGCTCATCCCAGCAGTAACCTGGGAACCTTAAATAATCAGGAAGACTGTTTAAGCTCTACTTTTTCTGGGCCATCAGAAGCTTTGGGCTACTGAAAGGCTGGTCATCTGAAAGTACCCAGAGTGGCCTACTGCTACTATTGTCAGACAGAAATCTGAAACAGAAGTCAAATATATCACTTTGTTCAACACCACCCTGAATCCAGGGTTGAAATCTATAAAAACCCAAACATTCAGTGTTCTTTGATCATGGATCCCACAAGGACAGGCCCTGTGATGCATAGTTCCAATAAAAGCCATAGTTTGATTGAGGCTTAATTCACTCCTTGTAATCCTCTATAGCATTCTCTTTCTATCCAACATTCACTGAGTCAGAGTTCATTTCTTCTGTTTTTACTTGGACTGACTTGCATGCTCAGAAAGACCATAGCCTTGTTTGTCTTTCCAAAGATTTAGACAGATATATGATGATGAAGAGTAGTTTGATCATTTAATTGGCTTTTCCAAATAAATTTAGCCTAAGATTACTGGCAATGGTTATTAAGCTATCTGTTCAATTTCACGCATATGTACCGTGCACTAGGTTCTATGACGTGCACTTTATGAACTGTGTGAGTATGCATTTTCTGAAATCCTATTCAATGAAGCAATACTTAAATCCACTGCTTCTAATGGACTTTTCTCATGCCTGACTGCTTAATATCAGGCTATTAGACTATGATGTTGTAGATGTTACTTGAGAGAAAATTCCACTATACTCAGAGAAATTTCACTCTGCTACATCTGAAAGATTTAAGTTCTCACTCTAAATCACAAATCATTTTTATTTTATTTATTTATTTTATTTATTGCAGAAAGTTTATTTAATGCAGAAAGTTCTGTCCTACATCAAAATGATACAGAATCAGTCTCACTGGCTTCATTCCCAACTTCATATAAACACTTAAGAGCAGAATAGGAAGAGAAAATTAATGAAATAATTCTTACCTTTCCTTTTCTGTAATCATCAGTATACATTGAAAAAAAGAGAGAGAAAAGCTTATTTAAATATGTTTCCACAACAAATATCTTTAACCCTGAAGATCATTATCTGTGGAATTAGAAGAAAAGAATCCAAGTGCCAATGTGGGTGAGAAGGAGATTACAATGCCACAAAGCACAAGCCTTTAGAGTGACACCTAGCAATTTATTCCAAACACCAGAGACACCTGGGTGGTTTCATATTGTGTGACTGATATATTACCAGGGTGGTCTCATAGTAGCAGCCAGAAGTCAACATTACTGGAACATGGAGTTCTTTTTAGTTAGTCTATCACTGTTGATTTAAACAGACTGATCACAGCAGGAGTCTCTTTGGAGTGCTTAAAGCCAGCAAATCAAATGCCAGGTAAAGCTAGGCCAGGAAGTGAAGAGCATAGCACATCAATTTGTGTGTTTTTGACTCAGTAAATTGTCTTTAAAACATCCAGAAGCTGACATTTTGCATGGACTTAAGTACATTCAGCCATCTGTCACAGCCAAAATATGTTTCTATCTTGGAGATGAGGGCCATTAACAAGTCTCAGATCACCGGGCCCATGCTGCCACTCTTTGGCTTAATTTAGAGGTGTCCTAATAATACGGTTAAAGCAAAAGGAACTGTGGTTGAAAATGCAAATAGTGTTTCCCTTTTCAATAATTTCTGTGTGACTGGAAAGAGCATGCTTGCTTTAAAAAAATATACATCTTGCAGCCAGTTAACTTTATAATAAGACTGTTGTTTTAAAGTTCTATATCTTTAATAAGAGTATAACATACATTAAGTAAGCATGTGTCAGATTGTCCATTATTTATCTTCATGCCATCAAAAGCTTGAACTAACACATTATCACAAATCATAGTAAATAACCCTTCCTTTTAACATATCTAGGTATTTTTTTCATATTTGTTCATATTATTATTATTTAAATCATACTCCACCTTTCTGCTTGTACAAGCACTCAAAGCAGCTTATAACAGTAAAACAAAGCAAAAAAAAAAAAAATTGGGGAGAAAAAGACTGATGTGGAGCCCAAATGCTCTGTTTGTTTGGAATTAATACTGCCCAGTAGTGACTTACTCCAGTGAAATGAACATAGGATTGCTACCAAAGTTGAATTACATTTTGTGATGTAATTTGCCACAATTCTTCTATTTCTATTTGCAGGTCTTTGTATTTTGTGATTTTTCTCCAGTTCTTTCTCTCCTATTGTGCTGTCTCCAGGTATT